GTTGTTGGATTTGGGAAAGCAAAATGCTGAGCTGGTGCATTTCAGGCAGCTTGCATCAGAGTTAAGAGTGGAGAAATCTAAACTTGACCATCTTTTGCAGCAGCGTAATTGGCAAATGGAAAAGCTTCAGGAAGAGCTTTCCAATGTTTCTGATCTTAAAAGGCATATGCTAGAAATACAAGAGTATGCCATAGTTTCTGATGTTAAGTTCACAGTTGCCATGAGCCACTGTGAAACACTGGATCTGGAGCTTGTGCAGCAGCTTAAATCGTCAGATGGGTCCATTGCCGAGCTTCAGAAGAAATGCCATGATTTACAGACCAAGTTGAATCAATGCCTTGCAAGTGAGGCTTGTTCAATTCAAGAGAACAAGGAGTTGCTAAGAATTCTTTGTGCTGTTAGATCTGATTTTGAAGCTTCTATTGCTCAAAGTAATGTTCTTTCAGATGCCAAGAACGTTAGCACAGTGAAACTTGAGGAATACAAGAAGCAGATGGCAATGTTGGAGGATTCTCTCCTCGAGACTAATAATTATCATGCTCGAGAAGTGGAGAAGTTGAAGTACATGCTGGCAAATGCCGAAGAAGAAATTAATCACTTGTTACTCTCCAAGGAGGAACTGGAGATCAAGGTGATTGTGCTCCAAGGCAAATTAGATGAACTGCACCCCTACACGATTTTACAGGAGAACAACAGAGATGAAATGGTCACCTTACAGTTACAGTGTAATGAGCTTACCCACAAGTGTAAAGAGCTAAGTCACAAGCTCTCTGAGCAGGCCCTGAAGACGGAAGAATTCAAAAATTTATCCATCCATTTGAAGGAGCTTAAGGATAAGGCTGATGCAGAATGTCTCCGGGCTCGCGAGAAAAGAGAATCTGAAGGACCACCAGTTGCTGTGCAAGAATCCTTGCGAATTGTTTTTATTAAAGAGCAATATGAGTCAAAATTCCAAGAGTTGAGGCAACAAGTTTCCATCTCCAAAAAGCATGGAGAAGATATGCTTTTGAAGTTACAGGATGCATTAGATGAAATTGAAAGCAGGAAGCGATCTGAAGCTTTGCACTTGAAGAAGAACGAAGACCTAGCTCTCAAAATCTTGGCGTTGGAATCCGAATTACAGTCTGTGCTTTCTGACAAGCGTGAAATAATCAAAGATCATGACAGAATAAAGGCAGAATTGGAGTGTGCTTTGCTAAGTCTAGAGTGTTGCAAGGAAGAAAAAGACAAACTTGAAATATCTTTGCAAGAACGTGTGAGAGAGAACTTCAGAATTGCAGCTGAACTTACTTTGACTAGGGAGCAGCTGGAGAATGTCACATCTTCTATTGTATCTAAGAGAGAAAATGGCCAGATGGACAAAGTTGAGGTTGACCCTGACGAGTCAAATGTAAATCCTCATCCGGATGCCATACCTGAACAAGATTCATCTGATGCCCAGAATGTCAAGAAAACAACCTCATTTATGGATGGTAGAAGTGAAGAATCAACTTCACCAGTGAAACTTCTACTCACTCCGGTAAGCACTCTAACAAGAACTAGAACTAATGTGGTAGTTAATGCAGAATGCTTTTTTCCCCCTTTTGAGAGAAGGTAAGTATGTAGTTGATGTGGAGTGTTTTCCTGAAAACCTTATTTAAATACGCTCTTTTGGGCTACATAAAGCAGTCTACAGGGTTCACTCAACAAATGTGGTAATAAACATACCTATGCTATCTACACCCGCCAAGTATATAGTAAATAAATCCACCAACCCACCTTGTCGTGTGTGTGAGTCTATAAAAAGCCAGTGTTAGTTTTCAAATGTTATTATTTCATTTACATTTTATCTATGTACGAAACAAAGAACAGGAAGAAACAGCCCATCGTTTCCTTTGCATTTGCAAGCTAGCATCCCTGATTTTATAAATTTTTATAGTCTTCAATAGCTATCCAAGCCTGTGAGACTTATCCTCAACTTTGCTGGAAAACCATCTAGGATTTTGCATGGCATAAAAGCATAACCAACTTGTCAAGGAATAAAAGGTATTAAGACATGATCAATGCTAGCTAGGACCTAGGGTACATGGAAGGAATAGGAAGAGTTATAGCTTTAGTTAAAACTTGCAATTTAAATATAGAAACAAAGGAAGCAGTACATAAAATAAAGAGATTCCTTTCCATTCTGTGCATTACACTTTTCTTCCACATGGATGGAAGTCACATAGCCCATCTATCCAAGGCATGTAAAAATTGTAGACAAATTTAAATAAGGAAAGAAAGATGAAAGACCTGATAGTTTAATATTTGAGTTTAGGTGTATATGTTGGTGGGCCGACAAGTTATATACCTATTGGATTTCTAGTTTTAATCTAGTGAATCTACACTTTCCTGGCTGGATGACTTCAGTGGTTAAATCAATCTGATTCTGTAAATCCCTGCTCTTGCATTTCATCCCATAGAATCCTTTGGTTTTTGAAGTACTTGTTTTCTTTTCATCTTTTAACAGGTTGCTGCTTCAACACCTTTTGAAGGTTACTCACCCCCAAGCAATGGAAGGCATATAGATTTCAGCGATGAACTGTTTGGAAGCAGGAATTTGAGGTCTAGCATGGAACATTTACACGAAGAGGTATTCTTTGAACTTACAAATTTATTGATCCAACTTGGATGGCAACAATCAAATTACAAATTATATCTGGTGGTGCCAATAGCAATTTTTTTTTCTTTTACTTGCGCTGCAGTTGGAAAGGATGAAACGTGAAAACTCTCTCATTCCTGAGGACCAACATTCTGATCCAGGTTTTGAAGTTTTTCAGAGCGAACTCGTGCAATTACACAAGGTATACTGAAGTGACTTGTATATATTATAGTTAAGAAGGAACTACACCTTTTGCTTTTTGCCTTTTAGATGTAAATATTACAGCACCTTCTTAGTGCTGATTTCAATGAAAATGACCTCTTTTACGGCTCAAACAAAAAAGGTTAACTTGTATATATTACAGTTGAATATTTCATTGTGCCTCTGATCACTGTTTGTCGTGATTCTTAATATGGAAGGCAAATGAAGAGCTCCGAAGCATGTTCCCAACATTCAAGGATATAGCTAGCACTGGTAATGCACTAGAGAGGGTACTTGCACTGGAAATTGAGCTTGCTGAAGCATTGAAGGCAAAAAATAAGACTAGTATGTTCCAGAGGTAGGATGTTGCAATTACTTCATCATTGCCTGCTTAATTACCCCTAGCAGATACTTCATTCTGCCATTTTCTTTTACTCAATTTTTTTAGTACATTTTTCCATTTGTGATTGAACAAAACAACTGCCACGTTGCCCCTTGCTTAATTTTGGGCAGGGCCGGGGGAGGGCCGCACCCAACGGGGTGTGATGTAGACAACCTACCCTAATGCAAGCATTAGTGGATGCTTCCACGGCTCGAATGCGTGACCTATAGGGCACAGGGAGACAACTTTAACCTTTTTGATTTTGCATGTTGCTAAACTGATTCTTCCAGTGCTAACAATTGTGATTACTGTTTATGATAGATCCATTGCTGCAATTCTATGCTAACATCAGATTGTGTTTTCCTCATACTTGCTACTTTATTCTCTATTCTTTAGGAAAGAATAATATTTTTCATGTAGCTGATTGACGGGTGATGATCTCAAAATGGCTTTCTGAACACTCCTTCCATAGCTTCTAAATAGTACTGAGAATTACTGATGAAGTTCCAATAATCCATATATTGAACTGTGCACATAATAAAATCTGTAAATCATGTTCTACAACAATTCCTTGAAGCATTTCCTAGGTTTATCTACCAAGACACTAATAATAACTATTTTCTTTGATCTGCTTGCATGACAATGAGCAGCATCCAAAGCTACCAAATCATCCGTTTATGTGTTAAACTTGAAAGCTTACTAGAGATGTAACTCTTTAGAAGTGTTTTGCCGTTATTGTTGTCACAATGAAAATGTGATGATACTTCATCGTTAGAATAAATTACAAAGAAGTGACAGTTTGGTGTTTATCTATGCTTCAGTTCGTTTCTGAAACAACATAGTGATGACGAAGCAATCTTCAAAAGCTTCAGAGATATTAATGAGTTGATCAAGGAAATGTTGGAAATCAAAGAAAAGCATGTAGCTATGGAGAATGAACTTAGGGAGATGCACGATCGGTACTCCCAGCTAAGCCTCCAGTTTGCAGAGGTTGAAGGCGAGAGACAAAAACTGAAGATGACACTCAAGAATGTCAGAGCATCTAAGACGAAGCTCGTGCAGCTAAATCGTTCCTCATCGTCCATAGTAGACAGTCCATCATAACCACTCTTTGAATCCATTTCTTGATAAGCTCTCTGTGAGTAGATGCCAACACGTCTCATGTTAGCGCTATAAGTTGGTTCAGTTTTATGGACTGGCTTGCCAAGGTAAGCTCCAAATATTGAGGAACCAATCCTGCAAGCTGCCTTGCTTCTATGTAAATGCGAAAATGTGGCTGTCAAATTTTGTCACCCTTTTAAGTTAAGTGTAGATCTAGATATCCCATAAATTTAGCCTCATTTCCCCTTCTTCCCATTTTTACCTGTATTTGGCTGTAATATTATGTATAGAAATTAGATTATCCTGTAATTAACACCGCTGCTCCTACTTTAAGCCGTGTAAGAGGCATCAAAATCTGTCATACTGAGCTGCTTTGTCTATAATTGTGAAGATTTCCCTTCCAATGTAGGCAACTCCCTGTGATACAGCTTACACATTGTAATGTAAGCTGGAATTTGACTTACATCTTGTTACTAGAGCAGACGGAAATAAGACCAGTTTGGATTTAAGTTTTAACACCCAAGGGTGGCGTAATGATCAGTGATAAGGTAACGACCGTATCCTATGTAGAAATAACAATAACAAATCATATCGTACGTGGAAATAACTACGTCAATTCCAAACAAGTTGTGGTTAACTATATGAATCTTCATTTTCCATATTTTTCCAAGCAATATATTGGCATAGTCGATTTGATGCCATAGACAATGGAGCTTCAATAACAGAAGAAATAGCGTAACAAGGTACAAATGCCTGAATTTGGAATCAAATGAAATCAAACCATCTATGATTTTTAACAGCTCTTTTGGTTCGTTTGTGCTTGTAACTAGTTTGCCCCCAATACCAATACCCCCACCTGGAAAAGAAAGTAAAACTTTTACATCCTTTCCACAGAAGTTCCTACACAGCAATGGCACCAATCCCTTTTTGCCTTCTAGATTACCAAGCTGAAATCTAAAGGTAAAACAATGAAAAGAGAAGGAAAAAAGGTAAAAGCAAAGAGCTTCAATGATATTTGAACTTCAAATTTCGTCATTTCACATCTTGGATTCCACTAACGTTCAAGATTACTTCTTAAAGCATCCAAAAGTTCCGCTACTGAAAAATCCATGAGCTATGGGATCTTACTAAACATGGCGTAATTCTTATTATCTGGTCAGATGGATCACAATATTGTGCATCCACAGCTGCCTTTCTTCAGGGAATCGTCCTGCAGTTTATCTGTGACAAATGCATAAACAATTTATTCAGTATGCTTCAGTGTGGGAAAAAAGGAATCATAAGAAGGCTCAAACAAATGGATCATAGACAATGAATATATTTTTCTCCTAAACATGTGAAATGCAAAACCAGGCAGACAAATCTATGCAAGTCAAGAAGCTCTCAAGTACTTTTCCAAAAAGCTTCATGCAGGTTGCGCACAGGAATGATCCCTAACTGTATTGACAATTTAGTTAACTGGTTTCGCTGANCCCCCAACAACCGAAGGGAGTAAGTGAATCCGGTTGAGAAGTCAAATTGGAGCTGTCATCCTCAGCACGTAAAGGGCAGCCCGAAGCATCCCACAGGGTTCAGGGAAGGGCCGCACCCCAAGGGGTGTGATGTAGGCAAGCAAAAGAATTTGTCATCCTCAGCACGTAGACAAGCTAAAAGAATTTATCACCTAATACTTACTCTCTGTACTAATTTTTTAGCACGTAGACAAGCTAAAAAATTGTTACTGTATCCAACAGAACTTACAACAAGTTATGTCAACAGAAAAATGAGTGTTAAATTAACCAGTTCTAAATCAGAAGGTGTCATCTTTTGGGACGGACAAGGGAAACGGACCAAGTACATTACGAGGGAGGGAGTATTATCTTCTAGACGATGTAAATAAAATATAGCAATACTGTTAGTCAATAGCTTTTTGATACTTTCAGATAGGATTTGCTTTGCGCATCATGATTTTATATCTTCTATCGCAAGTGAAACAAAAATAGACTTGGATGAAGGAATGTGAAAAAAAAGGACAATGTAATTAAGCTGTTATAGCTAAAGATTTTCACAAAGGAATGTCAAGAAAGGATAAGACAATCTGAGCAGTTATACTAGTTGATGCTCTTATTATGAGTATCCTCAATGGGACATGAGCTACAGGCGATTACTGACGGCCGTCCTACTATATTCATGTACTTCAAAAACGAGTACATGATATAATTAAAGCATCTATCTGATACACAGTCACCATGATCTGAGTACCGATAATAACAAAAAGTGTAACTTACCACTGCTTTTGTCATTCATAGGAGGGCGTACAACAACATGCATAGTTATGACACCTCCTGGTACTTCAGCAACTGGAAGTCTGGATTCACCAAGTGTTTTATTATTCTCAAGTATCCTTCCAGCATTAATAAGCTTCACATCATTTATTGTCTTTGGCCCATAATCTTTATCTGCCAAATTGAGATCTTCTGTTAGCAAAGAGGATCCTAGCTGACTAAACGAGTAGTTAAATTAAGAGCAGCACATTCGTGATTGCCAGATTTAAGTTTCTTCTAAAATAAAACATTCAAGCCACTGATCAAAAAGCACGGAATATGTTGCCATGGAAAAACCAAAAGGGAGAAGGAAAAAACACCCCCCCATCATATTATGCGCTCCTTTTGTAGCTTTTTAAGACAGGTCTTAAAATTAATGCATAACAGTAACAGATGAACAAATGGTAACATCCCACCTTATTGTCGTTGGAGATTCGCAGTCTTTTCATTAGTTTAACTAACAAAAATAAAACACTTTTTATTTGGATTTAAAGCAAAAGAAGTGGGATGACAGAAGGTATCCCTCCACTTTCATCAATTTGCAATTATTGGCAAACAGGTTATGCAAATACTAATAAAGATGATCTGGAAATGACAAGGAGGATCCAAATTCTAGAGCTAATATTGTCACAGGAAAGGTTAAGACCTTGAAGTTGTTTAAGTTCATTTTCTTAGCAGGTATGTTTGCATATATGTACTTAAAGTGGGTACGCTTCTGGGGAATCTGCTGCATATGCTCCAAGGTTCACCAGTGAGACGCAGAAAGCCGCGCAGTGAGAGAGGTGTGGTTGGATCTTTTTCCCTTACTCCTACTCATAAGTATATCCCGTAAGAGTTCTATAGTGTCTTCTATGTATTTCAGTATTATGTGTTTGTATTTTAAATGCTTCAATAGTCAAAACTTGGACAGCAAGTCTATGGAGTCTGAGGAAGCAAGTTTGACAAACAATTGCTTCCCTGCTCACATCCTTGCTTGATGCCCAAGTAATTGTTCTTATAAAATGCATGTTAACCCTCAAGTTGCAGAAAACATAATATTTCAGAAATATATTTAAAATCTCTCTCTCTCTCTCTCTTCTTGACCTCATTCATCTCTGCATTTTTTCTCAGCTTCTAAGCTGGAAAACCTCAATTCCCCTGCATATACTTTTGCCAATATTATCATCCCTCTCGTTGTCAGTTCATATCCAGGACAAAAGAACCTACTCTCTTTGTTTGGTATTTGAGGGGTCAGCATCATGTCAAATGATGTGGGAAAACCTTCACTCGGGAAGCTAACTGATAGTCAAAGGGATGAGTTGCTACTGCAGTTAGCTGAACAAGTTCAGAATCTAAAAACTCGTGTGAGAGCGCTTGAGTTGCAGAACTCGAAGCCACCAACTGATTTATCAGTGAATGGAAAAAAGGAATCTGTCCAAATTGTTTCACATGAAAGACCAGAGGCCGCAGAAGATGTTCAACAGCTTGACCAACCAACTAACCCAACTGAAAAAAGAGTTGTGGCAAAAAGGCCTCTGCAGATGCCTCAACCACCATCAAGTCGACCTTTACTAAACGGACCCCTCAATGAAAATCAAGGTACTATGGGGAACATCAGAAAGAAGGTCAAAATGGACTTACCAGATTTTGATGGAAAGCTCAATCCAACTATATTTGCCGATTGGCTATCAGCTATGGAGGACTATTTTGACTGGTATGACTTGTCTGATGAGCGGAGGGTTACATTTGCTAAAATGAAGCTAACTGCTCTTGCAAAAGAGGTGGTGAAGTCCACAAGTAAGAATCCTAATGTATTGTAAGCTTATTTATCAATGTTGTGAATTAAAAGAGATTTCCTTTCAATTATTCAAATATAGTTGCCATTGATTAAACTTCACATTCTTATGTAACAGATATGACAAATATCAAGCATTAAGGCAGACACCAGAATTAATTATAAATGAATTCAACAGGTTAAGAATATTCACAAAAAAATGGCACATGGAATGAAGGGATACCTCAAAACAATCAGGAGATGTAATCAACCATTAGTAGTCAAGAATACGCAACTAAGGGGCAGAAGTATGTAAGATTATCAAAAACTCAATAAACTGATGATCCATATAACCACCATAGGACAATTGCCTCTGCTATATATATTCAAGATCAATATAAGGATAGAGGTCGTATACGTGTGTTACTTTTTCGTTAATCGATATGCAGCAGGTCTATACTGGCGTATTATTTGTCCACGAAACATTGACTTTCCGAGCTTAAATTCAATAAGCGGATCGTGGTGGCACAAAGGATGAAAAGATGGAACATAAAGAGTAATCAGGTATATTCATTCTCTTAGCAAACTGGCATCAAATTATTGAAATGGTAAGTCGAAAGAAAATCCATGGTCCCATTCCATATATCCCTTGTTTAGAATCTTTCACTTATGATCGAAAATACAAGGTGTTTAACTTTCCTTAAATGGTCAGTTTCATAAGGCAGAAACTCCAGTCAATACAACAATCAGCTGAAACCATTTCAAAAAAATCACAAAGTACTCATTTAAGTTCATACACTACCTTCCCCCTTGGTCCAAGATAGAATAATAGCAAGAAAATACAAGGACAGGAAACTGCTTATTGTCAATAGAACAAAATATGTTCACTCTTAAATGGAAGCACTAAATTTCAAATTGCTAACACAAACACCAAAATATCCAACAAGCAAACAAATTATGCACTTAAAGAAAAAGACTGGATTTAATTTTTTTTAAAAAGTACTATTCTTAAATTGGATCAAACTGCTCTAAATTAACATAATAAGTAAAGATAGAGAAAATTTACAAACCTTTGGGCCACTGAGCAATAATCTTTTCTTTAAGAGTATCAACTCTGGTGTTGGGCATATACTTATTGGGTCCAATATCACTGCCATCAGCAAGCCTGAATTTGATCTCTATCAACTCTTTTGCAGCCATCTCTCTAAATCAATCTCTCACAATTATCAAATATAATCCACCACACAAATCAATTCCCACTTCAAAGGACAATCATGGGGTAAAAAATTCCAAGAAAATCCAACAAATCAAATGCTTAGATTAATAAAAGACCCACTTCAAACTTCTCACAACCAGACCCAAATCCAAGAAAATATCAAAAATAAACTTTTTGATTCACCCCCTATTTTTCAAAATCTAGAAAAACCCAAATAGAAATTCACTAAAAAGATTGCAACTTCAAATTCAGAAGGAAAAAAAGTGGAAAACAAAGTGATTGATTTCAGAAATGGATCAGATTTTATGGGAAGTCTTGGAAAAAGTTTTAAGAAATGAATATGAGGAAAATGAAGAATAGAGTGAAAAAGAAGATGAATGAATCTAAACTAAGGCGTCAGCTGAAAGAGTGAGAAACTTGTTTGTTTCTTTGGTGCTATAAATTGCTTGATGTTGAAAGAAAGAGAGAAAATGAAAAAGAATCAAATTGGAAAGTTTACAATGTAAGAGTATTTAACAGGGAAAAATCTAATGATTTGGAAAGCGACACTTCTTACTTCGTCGGTTCCCTTTTCGGCATGCAGTAAAACTGACTTACAAGCCGACGCATCCCAGAAATTGGTTAATTACCACCAGATCCTTTGGGTTTTGGATTTTGCATTACCAACCCTGTCTCCAAATATTTCTTACATTTCTTAAGGAAAAAGAAAAGCATTTTGAGTAGGAAATATGATGCTCCTAATATTTAGTAACATTTAAGAGTTAAGAATAAATAAATTTTGTTAACAATGTCAATATTTATTTTACCACTAAAATTACAAGAAAAAAGAGAGTTTTTGAATTATAGTTGGAGCATTGCAATTTAACTTGATACCAGTGGCAAAGTTAGGAATTTCCTCAAGGGTATTCAAATTTAAAAGAAGCGAAATATTTTTCCTACAAAGGGTGTTCAATATGTGTTATATACCTCTAAAACGTAATATTTTACCTATGTACACAGTGTAATATTTCGACGACGGGTGGTCAATTGACCACCCTTATGACCATGTGGTTTTGCCACTGCTTGATATTATCATTAAGTGAGCGTTTGGACATAAGAATTGTAAAATTCCGGGAAAAAAGGTGAATAATTTTCAAGTAAAAATGGTATTTAAAAGTTAGAGTTGTGTTGGAACATGAATATATTTTTGGGTTATTTTTGAATTTTTGTGAGTGATTTGAAGTGAAAATTTTGAGAAACATCCTTTTGGAGTTTTTCAAATTTTTGAAAAATTTCGAAATTCATTTTCAAGTGAAAATTAAAAATTTTATGGACAAATGTTGATTTCGAAAAAAGTAAATTATTTTTTCAAAAAAAAAGGTGAAAACTTTTGTATGGCCAAACAGCCCCTAAGTAAAGCCAGCTGACGATATATTTAAGGTAACCGAATATCTCAAATATCTTTTTTCGTTTTATATAAAATAGCAAGTCAAAATGGAAATACCTTTCTTTTTATCATTTTAGTTGCTTATCAATGGTGAAGAGTGGAACATTAAACATAGTTTTGCCCGATATCAATGTATCTTTTTAATTTATTGTACTCCTAACTCTTTCTCAGTCGGACTTGAGCAAAATAGTAGAACAAGTATTAATAACAAATAAAAAAACCTTTCACATCATTAATATTTCTATACTAAGTTATTAATATTCTTGTAATCCACCATTGAGACTAACACAAACAATTGGTAAACCCGTTACTCACTATCCTTCTCCATTTACATGGATCAAATATATGTCATTATAGATGATATGGTAGCCTCATTAAATTATCGATTATACTATTAGAAATCACAAAAATACTCACTCACCTTACCCGGTTATGGTTCATATTTATTGCTTGTCTATTTTTTTAAAAAATATCCAGGATTGAATTACTTCTATTTCTTTTGGTATCTGAATTAGGTAAAAAAATCTCCAAAACTTCTCCTAGAAATGATCCATTAGTTCACAAATTGCCTAAATGAAGTCAATTCAAACGTGGGATGTGACTCGGTATTAAAGATTACGTATAAAAAGTTGATAAAATTAGTAGATGTGAATCCAATTTTAATTTAAAAAAATATGAAAAACTATTGCACTTTTTAATCATAACAAAGCAATAGAATCCAATGCGGAGTAATCAATTTTTGCAATGTAGTAAGTAGTCTCAAACTCATTTTGACAAATAAAAGATAACAAAATGAAATGCTAAATTGTTTACAAATGATATGGACTTACTTATAAGATATTCCTAAACTTTAAAAATTTCTCGAGTTTTCTACTGTTTTAAAAGTAAAAGGGCATTGTTTCCTCATCGCAAAAGATTGAGGAGTTAACTAGAAATACAAGTAAAACTAACTAGTCAGGAATATTCAAATGAAACTGATAATGTATACTATTATACTTGGGCGGCATTTGACAGCTTCCGAATTAGATTCAACAACTCAATAGAAAGTTTGGTAAATATAGTACTTAGACAACTAGTTCGTAGTATCTTGAACAAGTTGCCTCCAACGTTGTCCCACTTTTGCCCGCAGCCTTTGAAGTTTGTAGCAATAAATATTTTTTTGGGTTTCAGTATTGAGGTCAGCTTAAATTTGGACTTGCCGGAAAATTTTGCATTTGGGGATAATGTGATATTTATCAAAGGCGATTATATATTTAGGGCTCAAATTTAATAGCGGAGTTAGGATTTTCATTAAGAAATGTCAAAATATATAAGGTAAATATATGAAAAAATCAAGGGGAGTCAACATATAGTCTATATATACGTATTAAAAAAAATTACCTATCTAAGTGTATCCTTAATATAAGGTGACTCCGCTGTGCTCGAACTCGAAATCTCTGATTAATAATGAAAAAATGTTTACCGCTCTATTACAACTTTTGTTGGTGTAGTGCTAAATATTTAAAAGTGGTTTATCTCATCATTTTTGCCAGATGATATAATTTAGTAGGATTTAACTTATTTATATCGACAGTATAAAAAACTTTTACACTATCAAGTAATACAACTTGTTGGAATTAATACAATATACTGTATTAGTGTTTATTAGTTAAATTCAGGTAGGTAATTAACGCGCATGGGGTTTGAGCAAGTCTAGCCATCCGAGAGTGTACCTTTGACTTGCAACCAAACAACCCCTTAGGCTATCTCCAACCCTTACCTCCATTTTCTCCTCCAAAATGGAGTAAAGTTACTCCAACCATTACTCCATTTTTCACTACAAAAAAGAATATTTCATTTTATATTCTTCTCTCTCTTCAATATTATATTATTATCTTTTATTTAAATTTTATTTTCTTATTTCTATTAAAGAAATTCTATCTTTTTTTCTTTTTTACATATTCATCACATATAATTTAATATAAAATTATTTTATACCATAAATTTTTAAATAATATAATTTATAAGCAAATATTATAGATTCTATATATTAATGGATAATTTAAATAAAAGTGAAATCATTGAGATGAAAGATAATTAAATACATATTACATTATGGTAAAATTCATATTAAATATTACATAAATATTCAACTTCCACCTCTAGTATACTCCCATAAATGATCTATTAATGCATTACGAAGTGCAAAATGAGCATCTTTGTCCTTCATTTTTTTGTGTCGAGCTAAAAATTGCTCAAATCGATGATTTTTATCTACTATCATTTCTACCGTTGGAGGTGGACATTCCCAATCATCATGAATTGGTGCATTAAGATCACGTTCATCCTCTATTATCATGTTGTGCAGTATAATACATGTAGTTATTATATCATGTAACACTTCTTTTCTCCAAAAACGTGATGGTCCTGCAACAATTGCGAAACGAGCTTGCAAAACTCTGAATGCACGTTTAACATCTTTTCGACATGATTTTATATTTGCACCATTCATTTTTTGAGATGATTATATATTTTTTGTACAATTATAACTTATAATAAAATTAACTTACAATTTTACATAAAAATAATAAATGCACGAAAATTAATTTATCAAAATTATACGCCAAAGTTAAGATGTAAAATTAATATTATAATGATATTACATAAACATAATTAGGTATATATAAAGAGATAAATTAAATGAGTTAAATAATAAAATAATGATGAATAGTAGTGGAGGAGATGAATAGTGTCACTCCATATCTGGAGTAACACTATTCATCCCCCATTTTAAGGGCAAAAATAGGGGAGCATTGGAGCCCCATTATGGCAAAAATTGCCCCCATTATGGAGAAATGTGGGAGAGTTGAAGATGCCCTTATAGTAATTATATTTTTAAGTATTTGGTATTTGTTCAAAACTTAAGTTATCTAGGCAACAATAGTTATTTGCAAATATAATATTTTTGGAGAATTAAATATATTATACAAGAAAAACTTGAGCTCTTTAATCTACTAATTCTTTAAACTGATCAAAATTTCCATTGATTTTGCAACTTTGAGGTATTATTATATTTTTAGCGGCTCAATAATGAGAATCTATATTCATATTGTTTGACCCAAAATTTAGTTCTGGGTTTAGACAATTAGATTTAATAAAATAAAATCATTCTTATCCAATATTAATGTCCAAAAGATATATTAACTGATTTTGTGGTAAGATGATACGTATATTATCCAAATCGTAATAAATGTTGACAACACTAGTAATATTCAATGACCCAACAAGAAGTGGATAGTATTAAATAACAATAACTAGCAATGAATGTGTCATTTAAGTAAATAAGAACATGTGAGTCACCCGAAAATGGTTGAGATATATGGATATTCTTTCTGACAATGATGAATGATTGACGAGCCTTCGAATGTTCAGACTGTTCTTGGATCGAGTGGAAAAGTTAGGCAAGAATCTTAAGAAAAAGATATATATTGTATGTTTGCAATAAAGCCAGATTCTATAGAGAAAGTCAATGTATATTTTTTACAAGTGAATATCTCATGCCCCCTATAATCATGTCTCTTTCTATTTATAGGGAACATATACCTAAAAACCCTAATAGTACAAGTTCAGAGAATATCCACTAGAATATTCTCTTTAGTGTCTTATCCTAAAACTACCCGTTATTACTCTATCTAAGATGAATGCTCGACCTCGATCTTGATCTTCGATGACTCCTCGACCTTGATCTTCAATGACTCATCGACTCCTCCCTTCATATCTTAAGGGATCACTTCCACCTTGGGCAGGCCTTTGTCGCAGTCATACCGGTGACACATGGCAGCCCATGAAGGCCCTTTTAATGCTGATAAGCTTTAATCATATCAAAAATAATTTTTGGCCCATACAGTTAGTACCTCCGCTTGTTGAGGTCATCCTCACATGCGAGTTCAATGAGCGAATAATGTCATTCATGGTCGATCTTATCCAGTAGACTATATGGGTCGTAGTCGTCGTGGCGAGCATGCGATATGGCTCTTAGTGGGCCGCGTATTTCAAGTCCCTTAATTTTTTTGGGT